TTTTTTTTTTTTTTTTTTTTTTTTTTTTTTTTTTTTTTTTTTTTGTGATTGTACACAGAATAATTGACATTTCAATCACTAAGATCTTATCTTTTTAATATAAGGGAAAATTAGCACCCATTTTACAAGAATGCAGTTCTGCTAGTGTTTAGGATAGATGCTTAGGAAGTGACGTGATGAAGAACTACCTTCATAAAGCTGATGGAAATACCAGTTTCTCTTCTGTTTGTTTTCTTTTCCTCTTTGTGTAGTGTTTCACTCTAACCAGCTACTTCCTTATAGAGCTACTGAGTCTTCCTCTGCTTTGATCTCTTTGCAGCTATTCTTTGGGGGAGATGTGAGTGTGGAAGCAAGTCTTTTGTTAGTGTTAATGCAGCCTTTGGGAAATGAAAGCCAAGATTAGAACAGTACTTTAGATGACACGCTTAAGATTCTGGGTCATGGGCTGGATTACTCAACAAGCCAGTTTCAGTTTTAAAACATGATGGAAAAAAAAAAATTGCAGAGTAATCTCAGTCTCTTTTTCCCCTTCCTTCCCTTTATTTCTCCCCTACTCCTTTTGTTCTCTTTTCCCTCCCGTCCTCCCTATTTCTTTTTAACCTTAGAAATACTTAGGAAGCTGTATGAACGTATTAGATTGCCAGTAGTTCCTATGTATGGCTGGTTTCCAGTCAAGCTTCGCACGTTTATTGGAGAACCCATTCCATATGATCCAAATATAACTGCTGAGGAACTGACTGCGAAGGTAAGATAAATATGCATGTAAATATATATTTTAAATATTGACTATTCTGATCAAAAGCACTAAAATATTCTTGTCTGGGTAATGATTTCTGCCGTGGAGGTAGTTGAAGTCGATAGAATTGTGCTAAACTTTGGACTTGCTTAACTTCCAGTGCCCCTCTTCAGTACTGTCTTTTATTACTACATCTTGCAAAAGTTCTTGGCCTTTTAATGTCAATCCTGTACTCTTTATTTGCTTCAAGAAACATCTCGCTTTAGAAATTAAGGAAGTTCAGTCACCTAAGAGTAGAGTACCGTGGGGTGGTTTAAAAAAAAACACGATATGTTCACTTCACCCAGGGAGAGTGTTTCTAGATCATTTAAAAAGTTACCAGTGAAGTCTTTCAACTATAGCAAATCTGTGGCCGCAGACTGATATTCCATAAAAAAAAAAAAATAAAAAACAATAAAAGCCATGTAATTCCATGATTTTGAAAGTCTATTTCGATTTCTGTTTCCTCCAACTTCTCTCCCAAGAAATTTGTTTTAGAATGTTCACTTTCTTCAGTTTAGGTGGTTTGTTAATTGTGAGGTCCTCATATTCATTCAGCTTCATGTTCATCAGTAGATTTCACAGTGCAGAGGTACAAGTCAGGTAAGTGTGGGTATGGAGCAGTCAGACTGAGGCGGCCAAAACAGCTGTGTTTGAAAGCTTCACAGAGGGTCATTTTTTTCATTCTGAAAACTTCACCCAAGAGAAAGGGATTTTTTTTACTGAATTGCAAGTATCGATTCAGTTGTCTGTCATCACCTGCTTATCCTCTGATTAGATCTCTGCAATATGAAATCTTGAAATGTCTGCATTGCCTTGTTTGTGGAGAACTGAGTGCATCCTTTGGGAGTTCAGTCGGACAGAGCCTCTTAGAGAAGTGCTGGTTGCAGGAGGAAGGTGTTTGAATCACTTGCTGCCGTGCTTTACTTTTGAACCTGTACCAAGGATCACTTTTCTCCTTGTTGAATGCTGGTTTTCCAAAGCAAGTAGGTCACTGTTCTGTCTCTGGCCTTAAGAGTTTAACAGTCTGTGATCCTGTAGGCGAAACAGAAAAGTTACTGTTACCTCACCCTAACTTTTACTTATTGCTCTGTTTTTCGGTGTTCTCCACAGAGCTATTATGTAACAGAATGGCTGCTATTAACTTCTTGGCCTGCAACATTTCTGGGTGAAAGTACTGCAGATATGCACTATTTTAGCTGTGATCTAAGCATACTTTACTGGACCAGCTACTTCAGGGGGCTTACACGCAGCCAAGACACAGTTGTGTTTCCAGTGCTGCTTCTGAGTTGGTGTAGAAGCAAAGTTCCTACATACTGAAAGAGTGTTACTGATGCAAACCTGGGCATAGACAGTAGTTCCAGGGTTGTAGCAGTATACAGATACTGACATGCATTAGAGATCTAGATCTCTTTGGTAGTTTACTTCAGCATCATTTTACTATTGCGTATCACTGATAGAGCTTGTGAACACAGCTACCAGAGATAAAAGCTAATTGTTTTCTAGTTTGTTTCCTAGCAATAATCCCACAGACACATCATGTGGGCTGAAATAACACTGAAAATAGTGTTGTCTACTTGCAGAAGATCTCCAATATAACGATGAAAAGATCCTAGAAATTATGTTAACACATGAACAACGTAAAGATGACCCCCAACTTTTCTCTTTCCTTGCAGACAAAAGCAGCACTCCAGGCTCTAATAGCCAAACATCAGAAAATACCAGGAAGTATACTGAGGGCTTTAATGGAACGATTTCAAACACGACAGAAAGAAGACTAAGGTCTTCTGAGTAAGCTACTATTTAGTTATGATATTCTTAAAGTCATATTAATAAATACTGTCCTAATGATGCTGTTGTATATTTTAAGATGAGACACTTTTCCCCTGTCCAGTGTCAGGCTTGGAAAGCACAAACTTTAAGTAATCCCTAATGAGGTAAACTTAACTTTTGACAAGTGCATTCCTTCATTGAAAATGTTTATGCAAAAATGACGCTGCAGTCTTTATATGTTCATTCTCTTGTCTTTCTTTTTTCCTTCTATTTCTTTTCACCCCCTCCCTCCCCTCGCCCCAGTCCCATGGTTGCTACTTAACCTGGATATTAGATCCACTATAGAGCTGAAGTTTCACTGTTTTAATCATTACCACTGCAACTAGCTTTTGTAGGCCAGGTTAACTGCAGCTATTTTCATCAGTAACATCTTTCTTCAGGTTGTTACTTCCATGCTGCTGAAAAATCGGTTGCTGACAGAAGCAGTTAACTTTCAGTGGCCTGCAGAACCACTAGCTATACCTGTAAAACCTGAGGTGGAAAATGTTTCATTTCACTGGGTTTGCTCAGAAAGTATTTGCATGAGTAGAGAGTGAAAGAACTGCGGTGAACAAAGCAGACTTGTTACAGAAACCACTCTGGTGTGTAGAGAATCACCACCCTGCAGCTTGGCTGCTGTTTCAAGCTGATCCATAATGGATATTTACCCTCACCTATAGTGCTGTCAGTGACTGAATACTCAGTGATTCTAAATCTGCAGGTTGTCCTTTGAACAAATGAACCAAGCACTTACACTTTAAGAAATGGAAATGAGATGAGTATTTGGTAACACAAGGTCAGAATGCTTTATTGTAAAGGAAACTTAAGAATGAATACAATGCTCCTTTAAAAAGAGATAATTCTTTGAAGGACAAGGTGCACATATATAGATAATATGGTATATATGTTAACTGTTAAACCTCCATATTTTCAAACATAGTTTGAAACAATCAGACTTGAGAGGGAAACTGTATACTTTGATTAGGTAAAAATAATTGAATGAACAGGAAGGAGTTGTAGAATTGGGATAATATTAAATTTTACTTTTTTTTTTTTTTTTTTTTTTTTCTTGAACTAAAACCTACATTTTTACTGTCAAGATAGAAAATGTCTGAAATGTTTCCTCTGATTGGCAGCAAGCATGATCTACAGTCCTTAAACTAGTAACTGAGAATGCTTTATTTTTGGGATGAGGACAAATTCCTTAAAGAAAGTCAAAAAAGGTTTTTCTTTTATATTGTGGTCTTGTTTCAATAGTGTTATGTTTTGACTTTTTCTTAAAAAACAAAACAAAACAAATGAACAAGAAACCCAAATTCAAAAAAAAAAGAAAAAAAAAAAAAAGTAGTTGTATTCAAATTAGTATCAATTCCCCTAAACACTTGAGCACACGTTCTGGTTTACTCTCCTTGAACTGAACAACAGTGGGATTATATAACTGCATGTGGATGATCGCCTACATTAGAATAATATCACAGTATGCAGTGATATTCTTAGAGTCTATGACTTGAAAAACCCCCAAAGATTACTTGTTTTATAATGTTACTTAATACCAAAAGCCTTCTGTTGGTGCTGAATTAAGTTTTTTGAAGCTTGGGTAAGAATTGTGTTATATTAAAGCAAATGCCCATTCTGAAGCTCTGAAAATGGTTTAGATTTTATTTAAAGGCAAGATAATCCTTCAGTTTTAGAAGAATTTATTTTTAAAAACATAGTGTTAACACTGTGCATCATTAAAACTGATAATGCCGAGACACTGCATTGGAGTGAAACATAGGTATGACTTTATTTTTAATGTCTGTCTTGAGGAAAATGTTCTATGTTGTGAAATTCTCAAAGGCAGCTGAACAAAACTAAACATTGAGGTTGTGTGTATGTAAAAGAAAACTCAGACAAAAAGATTCCAGTATGAATGAATGTACCTTTTGTGATCAGAGACCTTGTAAAAATTTGTTTTGCTAAATGTTGGATGTTTGATGCAATTTTTGTCCCTTTAAGATGAGTATAACAAATGAAGGACAGTATTGGTACTCTTTAAGTGTTCATATTCGTATAGGTCTTTCATATTTATTTCTATATATAAAATTGTATAGAAGACACCTTTCAAATAAAATTGACAGTTGGAACAGGCTCTGAGGTTTCATGTTGTGTTTGAACTAAACAAAATTATTCATGGCCTGCGCTGTTGAACCTTTAGTGGTTTTGAGGTGTGTGTAATATCCTTGGAAAGCTGTTCCCATCTAGTATCTGAATAAGGGGTGGTAGAATCCAAGCCCACAAAGGAATGTATTAAAGAAAAAAGTAACTCGGACAACAGTGGAAAATGGGACAAAAATCATGTGAGGAATAAGGTCTGAGTTCTAATAGTTGTATTCAGTTCTGCAGGAGGCCTTACGAGGCACTGCAATACCACTGTGGTTATATTTAAGATCCTGTGATAGAAAGTAAGTCATAAATACTGACTAATAAGATTTGTTTGTACATATTGAGTGTTTAAATGATTATCAATGATTTTTCATTGAAAAAGGGGGGCAGATCTGGAGACTTGTACAAATAAGATTAGAGTCCTCTTAGCTGATTTAGTTTACTGTGTGTTAGGCAGAATTATTTAAAAGAAATTTTCGAAGTGTTATTGTGGAGCACTAATTACCTGATTAGCCTTTGGATAGGCTGAAGACTTTCCAGGTTTCTCTGTGGAAACAGCACAACCAGGATGCACTTTTTTTTTAAAAGGTTGTTTTGGAGTAGGGGTGGAACGACTACAGTACTGATAGGTATTTGTCATTATTTCTCAGCAAGATAACAAGCCTCCTACCAGCCAGTTTACTGTCCTGTTGTGCAATAGCAGAGCTCACCCTGAACATCTATTATTAGGATGCTTTCTTATGAAATTAATCATTGCAGATACAAACTAGAGCACTTAATCAGCGTTGTCAACACAATTGTGTGGTTCATCTTGTATACTTGTCCACCAAATCCAATACCACTATGTTACACTCTGAAGAGAAAGATACAACTATGGTGACACTTCAATCAGCTCTGCAGTGTTTAATCCCTATTAAATCTGTCATAAACACTAACTTGGCTTTTTTTTATATTATTTTTGCACAAAAAAAAAAAAGTATCAAAAATAATTGTGCATGGAATTGCTGTATGAGCATTACTGTGGAAAACATGTAGTAAGAAAGGTAATCTCCAAAACATTTCTGCTATAACTTCATGAGGCTGTCTGATGTCACTTATCTTCTCAGTTCTGTTGACTTTGTGTCTACAAAGGTCTTCAACCATACAGATCAGTGATGCTAGCACTTTTTTCATTATTTTCTTTTAACTCAAACAATGATGTTAGGGGGAAGTTCTTTACAAGGAGAGTGGTTAGGCCCTGGAACGGGCTGCCCAGGGAGGTTGTGGATGCCCCGTCCTTGGATGTGTTTAAGGCCAGGTTGGACGGGGTCCTGGGCAACCTGATCTGAATGTGTGTGTTTGGTGGCCCTGCTAGGCAGGGGGGTTGGAACTACATGATCCTTGAGGTCCCTTCCAACCCGGGTGATTCTGTGATTCTGTGTGAATGGTCTCAAAGCAAATTACTCTTCTCATTGTGGGTTATTTGCAATATTTGCTTGCCTGCTTTTATTAAACAGTTTTGTTGTGCACAGACTACTAGGATCTTGACTTTTGGTCACTACATCCATTCAGTCCATGTCACATGCTCCTTCCTAAAACCTCTTTAAATTGTTGTAGTGATCTCGCCATGTCGGAAAATTGATCACTTAAAACATGCAATAGACTTCCAGATTGTAGGATGCATGTGTTTTTAAACAGACTTTTCTATACTTTGTCACCCTTGTGTGTGTGAAACATTTCATGTAGTTGGGATGCCATTTGGAATTAACATCAGGCTGCACACACAAAGTGAAGGCAGTATTTTTCTCCCCTTCTATGAAGCTGAATCAGCTGCTATAGAGCAGAACCTATTCTATCAGGCCTTGTGTTATAGCCACCACATCTAAACAAGACCATTTAATTTCACTCAGGTATTTCTGTCTGACACACACAGTAAACAGAATTGAGTCCTGTTGCAGATATCCCTGTTCTTCATGTATCCTAGAATGAGTTTTTCTTTTTTTTTTTTTTTTTTGCTAATATTGGTTTCAGGTGTTGAGTCTTTGCCATGCTCAGAGTAGCTCCAGACTTCCTTTGGTTGCTACTTACACAGGAACAAAAATATAAAACCCAATAGGCATTTGTTAGTTCTCTTTTTGATCTATTTGAAGTCTACCAAAGATACCTAGAAGTGTTTCTGAGCTTCTGTTGCAACTTTTGTGATTGAACTGCCGGCTCTCTGGGTGTTTCTTTAATGGCCAGATTTCCTTAGAGTATGAAAACTACTTTTCTAATGGATCAACCAAAATTTGGAAGTGCTCTGTCCCTTCTGAAATGGATTAGTTTTCTATAGTCTATTGTAGACTGGATTAATTTTCTAAGCTAGCTAGCACAGCAGTCAAAGGCTTGCTTGGCTGCTTTTTTCTTCTTTTGGCTGCAGATTTTCACATTCCAGGCAAACTTTTTGGCATGCTAATTTTGCTTTGTGAGAACTTGAGAGAAGAAGCGTCTTGTAATTTGGCCCAGTCTCTGAAGGCAGTAATGAAAAATATGAAACGACCCACAAGTGAAACAATCACACCCTGACCCCAAACTAAATCTGGAATGCTAATTCTGGACAATCTTGAGTCAGATTTCATAGAAATAAAACTGCCTTGCCCTTTTTAATCCTTGCAAAGACCTGCTGCTGGCAGCTCTCGTGTTTCCAAGGCTAAACTTGCTTCTGAGTTGAGCAATCATGGAGAGCTTTTGGATGAAGTATTCTCAGGAGAAGTGTTCAACAGCCCTGAGGGCCTGTTGGGAGCATGCTAAAAAAACAATAAACTATAGTGGAAGATAGCTAGTAGTCAGTCCCATAGTAGGCTTACTCATCTGGCAATAGGACATCAAGGGTAGCTGTAGCTCACTGAAATCCAGCTATCAAGCATGCTTCCTACCAAATTTCTCTCTCCACCAGTAGTGTTCAGTGGCTCAAGTATCCTCAGCTATCTTCCTCAGGTACAGCTTAACAGACACTAGAAATTACGGCTGGGGAGCTGATTCAGTCAAATTCCAGTCTTTGTACACATCTTACCACCACACTTAATGATTCTCCTGAGAGCAAACCCTACAAGGGAAACCTTCTGGCAATTAAAAAAGCTTTATCTAAAAGAGCCTCTGGTACTTTGTGTTATACATATGGTATCCACAAATACCATTTTTGGAAGGTGATAAGGTTTCCACATTGCAGCTATGATAGATGAACTGGCAGAGCTCTTAACGCTGTGCAAGTTATTCAGCCCTTCTGGTGGAACATTTGGGTTGTGTATAGACCTGAAGTTGTGCTGATCTCACCAGTTTTCAGCTTGCTATGGTTACTCTGCGCCTGGTGCCTCTAAATTACTTTAGAGCTTTCCTTGTGTTACGGATGTATGGTTTGGCAAACCATTGGAAATTTGCTTTTGTTGCTGTCTGCTGAAGAGTACAGAGAACTCAGCGTGTAGGCAGCTAAGCACCTACCAGTGTGCAGCAACACATGTAACAGAGCAGTGGGAGTAGAGAGATGACCTAAAAAGGCAGACAGAAAATCTCAGCCAACAGAGTGCATTAATCTCTCTCTTTTTTAAAAATTTAATTTCTTTTGTTTTTTGTTGGTTTTTTTTGTTTGTTTGTTTCTTGCTTCTTAACTTCTTCTGACTATTAATGGCTACAGGGCCAGATACTAGCTAATCTTATTACTTACTCAGCACCATGTCTATGTGTGTGCATGATCCCATTTGTTCTGTGTAAACAGGAACCTGGAACTTACTTCAGCTGCTATTGCAAGAGGAACAGCAGGCCATTATTATTCTATCTACCTGCTGCTTTGAGAATGCCAAGATGATATCTTTCATACTTGCTTTGTCATTATTCTGCTTAATCATTTTTTATCAGTTTGTGGACTAAGTAGTTTCTGTAGATGTGCTGACTTCTAATAGAACTTCTCTTAAATCAGGCAGCGAAACATGGGGTGTACCATGACAGCAAACAAATAGGGGTTCCTAGAGCCCAAGTTTCAGATGTTCATACAGATTGCCTACAGTGTAGGAGCTAACTGTATAGGAATGTTTTTGTTTTTTTATCAGCTGGAAGTTACACCTCTGGAGGATTTGGGCCCCATTTCCAATGTCTGAAATGGACAGCATCCACATTAGCAGCATGCTCGCATTCAGACAAATAAAGCCTGGAATGCTCAGGACTGAAAGGAGCATTGCCACTCCAACAAACATTTGCAATACTGATTATTCTGAGCTCCAGAGTAACACACAAAGGAACAGCAGGTTTGACAATGGGAGAAACACACATACTCATATATGAGGGATTGTGAGCTACCAATTTCACCCAGAGAAAAGGGGGATCACTTTAAAAAGACCAATACTCTTTTTGGGGTTGTTCTTCAGAAGGAGTTTTGTCTCCTTGGCAAGCTGTCCTGTTTCACCAGTCGCTCGTGCTTTCCAGGCAGTGTGCCAAGCAAGAGATGACAGAGGAGACATGAAGAAGGAAAACATACAAACCTGTAGTATCAACCTTTTTGTGACAAGATGAGGATGTGCTACCTCCAATTCAATCAGATTTGATAATAAATTACTGGGAACAGCTCCTGTTTTGCAACTGAGTAAAAGGCATTTGGCTATACATCAGTAAGCTGCATCAAGAGAAGGTGGAAGTGATTCATCCCATTGTAAATGCCCTGCTGCTGGGGTGGAGTGAAATCAATGTGAAGAGATTCAGCAGGTGGTGGCAGCTCGTTGAAGTAAATAAATCAAATGAAGAAAACATGACTATTCCCAGGTAATTCACATGCTGGCTATCAAAGTTTCTCTTTCTGAGAACCCATACTGCTCTGTGCATGTGCTGGATTTACCTTTTCTTGAAGTGGAGAAAGCTGAAAGATGATTACTGCCAACAATTCACTGGCCTTACAAGACCCCATAAAAAATGAAAACTTGATCCCACACAGGGCTGAGTTTTGAGTCTTTGCTTTTTGTCCTTTCATTTTTGTCCTTACAATTTGCTCCTTTGCTCAGCAAACAGTGTTGCTCCTCACCAATTTCTGCTGCCCCCGGCACTGAAATGGATTAATATTCAGCAATAATTCTTAAGTTTGAAAAGCTGTAAAATGCAAGATAGCTCAGTGTTGCTCAGATATTGCAGTTGTTCCTGTTTTTAAGATGAAAATAAAAAAACAAAAACAACCCAACATGTTTTATACTCCCGATCTGCAAAGACCTTTCAAGCGTCTTTCTGGATGCTTGTTTCAGACTTCCCAATACAGATGCAATAACTGCTAGCATGGAATAAAAACCAGTACTGCATTGCCTTTGCGGGCATCTAAGGACAAACACAGGAAGGATCTTTGCATGGGGAAGTTTACAGTGTGAACATTTTGCCTTTTTTTTTTTACTTTTATTTTTCCCTCAGGCATATTGGCTGAAAGTTTGCAGCCAGTGTTTCTGATGTCAGAAACAATGAGGGCATGAGAGTTTAAAAGCGTTGTTGCCTTGGCATGAATGGAAAACCACACTGCAGAAGCAGAGGTTATTCCTCTGAATATTTCAGCTGAGCTTCTCTGGGCTTTAATACCAAATTCTGTGTTTGCATCCTGACAAGGCGCAGAAGAAGCTCCAGTTGGGGCTGCATACCAGTTAGAACAGCAGTGATGTGAAGTGGCACATGGAGAGCAAGTTATTCACACAGCTTGATATGGACTGAAAAAGCCAGCATGGGAGGGGCCTTTGCTGCAGAATAACTTAAACCTGGACATTTGGAGCCTGTAAAGAACCAAGAGACAGCACACAAACCTCTCTATGCGTGGGCAGCAGCTGGTGGTGTCCAGCTCCATTTCTCACTTCCCCATCATGCCAGGCTGTGTGTCTCCTCTCTGGCTCTTCCTTCTCCTTCTGCGTGACCTGACCTGGATGCTTGCAACTTCACTTCTGGGCACCATGTCTTTGTGTATTTGTCCCTAAATCAGGCAATTGTAAGAGATATAACAATGAGATCTTGAAATCAGAAGCTTATCTCTTTCTTCTTACTGCACCAGGTGCCTGGTAAAGTAAACAAGTAAATCATCTATCAAGAGATCTGGCTTCCTGTGTGAATTCAAATGGCACCTCCTTAGAACTGCTTTTGAATTGAGATAGTAGATAATGCAGAGCAAATTATTGCTTCTGATAACTCAGGTTTCAGAGAAATGTCAGATGAATTCTTCAAGGCAAGCTGTAATGAACACAAGGCTTTTATGTTCTTCCAAGATTTTTTGTTTTTCTCTAAGGCTGCCCTGTTTTTTCTTCTTCATCCCTTAGGAAATAGGAGAGCTATGATCTCAAAATATGTTGCATGTGTGCACAGAAGAAAAAAGTACTCTGAAGGATAAAAGTGCTACCGAACACTTCCCTTCCTACTTCAGTTCTGCTTCAGGCAGAAAGAGAAAGAGAGCACATTATCTCTGTGCACAGGAAGAAGCATCCTGTGGCATAGAATGCTGGTGAAACAAATTATCTATGCAGAAAAAGTTAATTAAAGAAGAGGTTTTGTGAGATCTGTATTCTCAACAATATTAAAATGAGTTAAAGTTCAACTTTCTCATGTCTTACTTGTATGCTCTGCTGGGGAATGTCATACCAGACTGGAAATACATTGCAGTGACTTCTCAGCCACAGCTCAGGGAGGGGTGTATCATACCAGGTCATCAGCCCATTTCACCATGTAAACCAAGGCACACACTGGTTTGGACTGCTTCAGATCATGGGTAAACATTCCCACAGCGCAATGTGCCTTTGTACAGTTCCATTGGGTTGAGTGGCAAGTAACGAATGAAGACCATCACCAATACTCATGTGCTCAGCAGGAGACACAAGAAACTTTCAGGTGGGCAGTTAACCACAGGTGACATCACATAGGTGATTGAGTAGCTGGATGGGACAGCAGCAGAAGCTTTCCTTTTGGTTCCCTGCTTTCCAGCCCACATTTTAAGCTCGTAACATGATGAAGAGGAAAAGGAGGCAGCGTGTCAGAGGTCCATCCGAGCTCTGAAAATAAATCTGGACAGCACTCTTTGGATCTTTCCAAGAACATTTCTTATTCAATTGCAAATGTTGGGAAGATGTCTGATTGTAATAATCCCTACAGGGAAGCCAAAGATGGAAGTTTTGCTTTGTAATTCTTTCTGTAACAGAGCCTCATGGAGGTGCAAGGCAAGATAAATTACTTTACATGCTAGATTAGTGCACCACTTCAATGAAATCCTGTCCCATTAGGGTGTTGATAAGAAACCTGGGAGATGCATCACCCAGCACAATCTATTAGCTATAGATTGGGATAAGGTGATGAGTCCAAACATAAAAAACTGCTAACAATGGATAAGTGAAATTGGATAGCTCTAACTTTAAAGATTTGGTAGGTCAGATATTAAAGCAAAAGCCAACCTAGAGGCTAAACTTGACTAATTGGCTACAAGTCATGCATAGGAATTCATGCCACTTTAAAGAAGGACGGGACCATAAGGTGCATTTATTCCAAATTGCCAGCACTGTGGTGCCTGCTGTTGGCTGGGGCAGAGCTGCAACCCCTCGTTGAGCAATAGAGCTTCTCACAGGAAACAAACCAGCCCATTCCCCCTCCATCATACCCCAACACTGAACTTAAACTTCAACCTTGTTTTTCCCTTACACGCTCATGAAACATTGTGCTGTGCATACTGCTCACATGATATTTCCTCATTTTTCATATATATTTTTAAATGCTATGTTTTATTTCATTTTTTTAGATATGATGACAAGTGACCATATCAAAGTCCGAGAATTTGCATGTCAGCAAAAAAGATGAAGCTGGAGGCAAACGGTGACACAGGATACCTACCAGAGCACTCTGACCAGCCAGAGGAATTGATCTGTGGGCAAGTTTCCTGCTGCTATCAGGACGTTGGTAGGACACTCCTGAGGATGCGAGACCTCTGGCCAAATGCCACATAGGCACAAGGTAACCTCGTAGCTTCTTTCCCACTCTGCGCTGGCATGGAGGGCTGGAATCAAAATCGCTGTGAGAAGGTGACAACATTTGAAATGAAGACTCAGATGTAACAGATGGCAAGCACAGCCCCAAGCAAAAGTAGATTCCCAAAGGAAAGCACAAAAACAAATACCAAACAGGCCTTTAAAGTAAATGAACAAACAAACAAACAAACAAAAAGAGAAAGCCTTAAAGGGAAATTCTTGGAAAAGTTACAAAATCATCTGAGAGAAAAGAAAGATGGGGAGGAACAAATGTGCAATAAGGAAAGTGTGCTTTGCATAATGCTGCCCACTCCATCTGAAGGAGCCTCCAGATGTTCCGTGTTACTCTCATGTGACTGTGAGTTGTGAAATAACTGGTGTGCTGCAAAGTGAGAAAATCAACGCTGTGTTCTAGGCAGCTTCTGATATCAAGGGAACGGCAGAACTACTTATTTGGTAGAATTTGCTTCAGAGCATGTTTCAGAATTAGCTCATCACTCACAACAACACCTTTTACAAGTCGATGTGAGTTGTCTCCTTGGGAAAAAGCAGCTGGCAGATGAGGCAGTCAAAACCTATTTTTCCAAAAGCAGCCTCTGATCTGAACATAGAGACACTGTGAGTATTCAGTCTGAAAAACAAGGGCTGCATTTTTCAAAACTGCTGAGCTTTGCTGGGTCCTATCTGAGAGTGCTGGAACTGCAAGCCCTGACCACCCTCCAGAATGATGCCAGAGCAAGCTCCAGCTGAACCACTCATTTCCCACAGACATCATTGCCAGTGACTTTTTGTTGCTGACTGCAGGTGGAAACAAGCATCCCTGCTGTGCATGTTGTAAGCCCAGAGCCTCAATGACAATCTAAATCAGAAATAGATGGAGACGACCAACAGGAAAGGCAGATGCTTCTGGCACCAGGCCTATGCTCAGACAACTTTCACCTTAATTTTATTGAGACTTTTTTTTTTTTTGTGCAGCAGTGGAATTGATCAAGTTCCAAATCTGTACTAACTATAGAGATACCAAAAATTTAAAATCAGTATAAGGTTAACTTGCTTAAAACTTTGAGATTGCTTGGAGAAGAATCACAGGAGTCCACATATCGGTAATAATCCATTTGCTCAGTTTCCTTATTTATATAATAGAGTACATAAGCTTATCATTCCATGTTTTGAGACTTTATTCTTGAATTGCTGTCTCTGAGCTATCTGCTTGGTTAACAATGCACATATGGCAGTAACACAATGGTTGGTAACACTTACTGTGCTTATTGGTGTGCTCAGGGCAGTACAGCTTATGCTCACAGCACTTAATTAGAACCTGACTGAAAAGAAATGGCTTGATTGCTGGAAGACCCAGTAGGAATAAGTCTTCAGCTTTGTATATAGCTTTCTATGAATGAGAAATCTTTCCAAGTGGGAAAAACTGAGTGCTTAAGAATGAATACAATATGCATGAGCTGGTGTGCCTGACCACGGGTCCGAAGTGCTGCCACAGCAAACAGACTATACAGAATAGCACTTTCCTACTTTCCTGTCTCATTTCTATAGCACAGAATTTAGTGAAAAGATGTGTCTTATAACTGCAGTACAAAGGAAAAGAACTGTCCATCTCTGGTCGGCCTATCCAAGATTCCCATTGCGGTGGTAGGAAGATACAGCTCCCTTCCATACAAACGGGTCTGTGTGTACTTTATGAGCTAAGTTAACTGAGTGAATGTAGTGTTAACTACATATGAAATAAGTAGAGAAAAAACATACTTGGATAATTTTGCCAAGGCACTTGGGGCTTTTATTACCAAGTCTCTATATTTAGTTCATCAGCAAGTTTTTCTACAGGAACCATAGCCATTTCTCAATCTCTCTCTCTCTGTTTTTTATGGTTTTTTTTTTTTTTTTTTTTTAAAGTAAGGAGAGGTGAGAACTGCTCTGAATAAGCACTGTTCAAGCAGCCTATAAAAACTTCTCCACTTCTTTTCTTTGTTAAGAATCTATTTAAACTGTCTGTTATCATTGTTTAGCTTAAAAAGAAACTGCTTTGCTTCTTACATGTCACAAGCTTACATTAAAAGCATCCTGGACAAGGCTTTTGCATCAGTGGTCAATAATTTGCCTAAAAAATATGTCAATTCAATCCTTTTACCCCAAGGTATGTAGTCCCACACCATGGCAGCTACTCACCCACTTAATGCTCTTTGACCTCACCAATTATAAAATTATTGGATATCATCAAATGACTTTCCAGTACCCAAGATTGTGGCTTTGATGACTTCTGTGCCTGATTCACATGATTGGTTAAGAAAGTTATTTATGAGCATGTTTCTATCTGGTGAGGTTTTATTTTTATTTTTATTTTTATTTTTTTTGTGTGTGTGTATGTGTGTGTGTGGTTTTGTTTGTTTCTTTGATGGGGATTTGCAGGGTTACAGAGACTGAGGATCTTAACTCTTGTGAATAACTCTTGTGAAATAGGGCAGTTACCAGTTATGTTGTTGGAGTGCTCCTCCTTCCATTGCACTTTGCCAATTTACAATAACAAACTGCTTTGTCTTTAGCCAAACTACAAGACATGTAGTCAACAAATGCAAATTCAGTTACCTGTGGTATATATCTAGGTAGATAGTAGATAGATCTTTCTCTGAACTCACAGTAATTATTTAGTGCTTGATGGATTGTTTTCCCTGGCCTCTCTTTCTTGGTCACCTCAGCTAGGCCAACAAGCATTTAAGAAGGAGGGGGGGCATGGCTAAGGGACAGAAGGGCTGATGGATTTGGGTACTTTATTTGAGCACAAGCTCCTGGTGCTGTTTAGGGTGGCATTACATGCCCAAATGTAGCAATGAAGTCCTGGAGGGGTATTAAGATCATTGAAAGTGCTGCCAAAATCAGAACTTGTGTAATGATCTAATAATTAAAGGCACTTGTCCAAGAGGCAGGAGGAGAAGAAACAAAACCCTCCTCAACCCCAGGGGATTTGAACACAGGAAGATCAAGGAAGCTGCATCTTTCCTGGAGTTTCTCCTAGCTATTGTGTTCAGGACGAGGCTGGGTGAGGCCCGTCACTCCCTTGCCTTCTGTTGCATGGGGATCACTGCTTGGTAGGTAGTGATGCTTTCAGGAGACAGAGGAGAGGATGAAAACAGCAGCGCGCTGTCTCCTGTTCCCTGTGAGCCACTTCAGGTGCTGGAGGAGTTCTGGGTTTCTGCACTCCTCACTCTGTATTCCTTGTGGCTGAAATGCTTCAAGAGCCATGAGAACCACAGTCCAGAAATCTCCCCCTTTCCAAGGGAGCATCCTTATTACCTGGCAGCAGGGTCTGTGCCCTCCACAGGGCTGAGGAATATGGGCCTGCTCCATGGGCAGTTTTTTGGGAGGCCTTCCTTCCAAACATCACTCAGGGCCCAGACCTGGGTACCCAGAGCACCCTGCTCTGCTGCTCTTGGGGTGAAGTGCCTGTGGGCTGTCTGGTGGCTTCCTCGGGGTCCCTGCTGTGACACCACTGGTAAAGTTGTCCACATCCCATAGGGATCTCTCAACTCTTCTACAGCAACCAGAAGTGGCTTAGGAACTGCTCACGCCACTCCTGTGCTCGAACATAGAGCTCTTTTGATGATATTATTGACTGTATTGTAGAATAGTTAGAGGTGGAAAGGCCCTTTGGAGATCATCAGGCCAATTCTTTGTCAAAACAAGGCCAGCTTTGGGCTTGTTCAGTAATGATGTTGAAAGATGGCATCTTTTGCTGATCCATCATTTTAAGAGAGTTTTTAAAGAAGACTCTAGAGCCATGGTAAAATGACCACAGTGTACTTTATTTAATGATTTTGGTACCTTGTGTTGCAATAAAATAAAAAAAATCTACAAAATCCAAATATATAAAATTTTCAAGTTTTCCTTTTTAAGTTTTACAAGAAAAATCAAGTTGTAACCAAGGAAATTTGTTAGTATGAAGCACTACTTTCAACTTCATTTCATCACAAATTGCAACTTACTTAACAGACCAAAAGAACTATGGTACTGCAGTACATCAAATACTTCACACACTGTGTTCTTTACTATAGCACATGTAACCTCTGCCAGGGAGACAGCAGTCTCTAGCCGATAAAGACACTCTTCACAATCTGAATTCTAAAGGAATGTTTGTATACACGGAATTGGAATATATATATTTACAGGAAGATTCTTTTTTTAGTAACTATTTTGATTCTTCATTTCAAATAAAATACCAAATACATTTTTACAATGTTTACAAGTCAAAGCACAAGTTCTGCAATGATTATCATTCACCTCAAGTCACTGTGCTTGTACTGGGGGGATATCTACACTGCTCCATAAACACAAATGTGATCTTCTGTAACTTTATTTCTGCAATGGTGACAAAGGAGTATAAGCACAGTAACAGTTATTTTAGCACAATCAGTGTATAATGCAACAGTTTGCAACAGAGAACTGAGAAACTATTGGTCCATTCTGTTCAATTTGCTGTTTTTCTGCCAACTGTTACGTTTGTTGTTGTCACATAAATTGTGTACGAGATAAGAGTTAAATAACACAACTTGAATAGGAAAGAGCACACATTTTTTAAGGCAAATTAACAAGCAGCTTATGGTGTTTTTTGCCAAACTATACCCCAACGGAACCTAAAAATAAAATGTATGTTCTACAGCTGTCAATAATTAGGTTTTCTTGTTCTCCTCTATAAATTGATCAACATGGCTTTAAACCTGGTTATTCAAAATGGAAAGAACTCCTCCCCCCAATCCCCAAATATAGAAAGTGCATGACTTTTTATGCGCCAAAACAAAACAAAAGGCAGCTGAGGTAGTTAGATGTAAAATGTATTTACGAAAAATAACTGAAAAACTAAATCCAAGACATACACAGTAAAAAACCACCCATTTGGAATTGATTCTATATCATGCAATAACTTAACGCTAAGCAGGAGACTCCGTGATTCCTGAACAAAAGAAGAAAGTGATTTTAGTAATAATAACAAAGGAATGAACACAGAATACACTATTGGAATTTGAATTTCAAGTATTTGAATCTATCTGCATGTGCACTTTTTTTTTTTTTAACAGGCTTTTTGTAGCATTAGGAAGTAACTTACTTTTCATCAGGTGTTGAGAACTGGTCTAACTCTGGTACTGTAGCTCCTGAAAGGCAGAAGTATATCACAACGGCCTGAAGACTCACCACTGCCTGTTCATGCCACCTCAGCTTGAGTGGACATCTATGCACCCGTCCTCTGCTGAGGCCACCTGAGAAGTCACAGGCCCATGGGTTCCATGCCTGTGTCTCATGGGGAGCTGATGTGCTGGGGGCATGCCTGGGGTGTTCTCATGTGTGGATCTTTGCACCACAGAGCCCTATCTCTTCTTGGACCTCGCAGCACAGAGCCCTATCTCCTGGACCTCCCCTTCCTCAGCAGCGCTGCTGCAGATCAGGCGACATGGCAGCCTTTCCTCATTTGGCGAGAGGGACTGTGCCCCATGCCTGCAGACAGGAGACTCCCCAATGGAGCTTTGGCCTCAATCTGCTCAGGATAAGGAAAGGTTTAGGGCCTGGAGTTCTGGCCTTAGCACAGGGGCAGGCCCGGCATTCCCCCTGCATCCAGCCTGGAATCCCTACCTAAATGCAAAATCTGTGCGTGCAAGCACAGGAAGACACTTCAGGGTCTGGAAAGGAGTTTCGTGAATAAGAGTACTTCCAGAAGATGGCAAAGTTGGAGGTATGTTCCTCTCCTCGGTAGTGGCCACCTAATTCATCCTTTTACTGAATGTGTGTTGTGCTGGCTCTTCTGCACCCTGCTGTCAGACCTCACTGCTGATCCCTGCAACATCACTGGTACATGAGTTCTGCACTTGGCACCTAACTCTAAAAAGTCACACTAGAGACCATTGCAAACCTATTGATTCTTTTTAAAATTTTTTAATTTTTTTTTTAATTTTTTTTTTTTTTGTGATTAGGCAGTGAAAACACAAGGTTTGTACTTCTGAAATGTGTGCATATGGTTCACACGTAACTTAGGAGAAAAGAACAATATATGAGGGCCTTCTTTAATATTTGCGATCCGTTAAACAAAGAAATGCTGAAACATTTTTAATTTTTGCTTACTGTTATACTCCTCAGCTTCCCATATTATGATTACGATTTTCAAATTGATGTGTCATTTTGCCCAGCTTCAGTTGTGGCAGGCCAAAATGAGGAATCACTGATGCTGAACCTACAAACTACAGCGGCAGAGCAGAGCTGCTGCTAATTGTCAGTAACCCGTGCACAACCTACACATCAAGGCCTGCAATTTTTTTCTGCTTTTACCACAGAACTAAGTGGAAAACTTGAACACTGAGGTGCAGGATTTCTTGAGGCAGTGTGATACTGCAGCGTTCCCCAAAATGTTTGTCAGTTTCCTGTTCTTTTTTTTTTAATTATTATTTTATTTTTTTAGGTGATGGGGAGATGGCAAGGAGTGGAATTGTGAGAATCTCAGTTTCGCAAAGAAGCCAAGGCTTTATGACTTGTATGTAATGTATGAAAAAAAAAAAGAAAAAGAAAAAGAAAAAGAAAAAGAAAAAGAAAAAGAAAAAGAAAAAGAAAAAGATTTTCTGTTTTTGTAAGGGAGAGAAATATATTTCAGGTCTTTATAAAACCCAAAGACGCTAAAAGGCACACCTCTGAAACAGCTGTGAAAATGTTTTATTTCCTGCAAAACAGCAGCAAAGGCAATCCTTTGTTTTTTCCTCTGCATACCGATTTGCAAAGGACAGAAAGCTGCAGACGGCATCTTTTAGGACTGCATTGCAGCAGCTAATAAACTTGTTTCCATTCTTGGCACCAACCTCTAAGGGCTGGGAATCCAGCTTGATGGTTCAATGCTTTGGCACTGTGGGTGTCTAACATCACTGCTTCCTAAATTTTATTTGCTGCCTTTCCTTTCCAAAGAACAGGGTACAAACACCAGCCCCATGACCCAGCACTCAGCATCTGCCCCACAAAGAAGCAGCCTTTGTCCCCATCACCCATTCAGCTGTGCCTGTAGAGAAACTGGAATAAATGGATCTACCTTTCTCTTTGTTACCCTAGCCTGTTGTCTCTGAGGTTCCTGCGTCCCTGATCTGTGCCCTAGCACTGAAGACTGTGATGAGGTTGGCCAAGATCCAAACCCTAGATCCTTCTTGAATGGTTTAAGCAGTGAAATAGTGACAAGCAAGGGCTGGAGCAGCAGGCTGATGGGGACACCAGGAGACTCTTGCTGAGCTTATGTGAAAATTTCACCTCCTCAAATTGCCATTTTTTTCCCTCGCTGCCCCAAAGCCCAATGACTTAGAAATTATATAAATATATGCATTCTTCTTGAAGTTGAAATGTGTAGCTTAAAGGATTTCTTTTTTCATGGAAAATATTAAAATATTATTAATATCTCAGTTAGTTTTCTGAACATTTAAACAGATATTTAAATTTATTCTGGAACCCAGGAAGCTGTCTTTGACTCATTCAGTGACTCACAGAAATGGAAGACCTAGAAGTGCTTTATATTATTTGCAGAGGACTATTTTTTCAATACAAAGACTGATGTTCCTTCCCCAAAGATTTTCCTTTGCCTAATCAGTATTGGATGCACAAGGACTGGCAGTTCACTGATAGTAAAGTTCAAGTGTGCTGTAAAATAGTGACTAAATAGATTCCATAAAAATAAATTTCGTCTGGAGAGGCATTGTGAAATTTAATAGCAAAATGACACTTGCTTACTCTCAGGGCTTACTGGACTCCAGTAAAGTCAAAAGAAAGTCATCCATTGCTGTGGAGATCCTTCAGGCAAGCCCTTTAAGATTATAAGCTGCCTATAGTCAAGGCAAATCCCAGTACAATAATTGCTCCTTTTCAGAGTGCTGGTGTAAGTATTACTTATCAGTGTGTTCACCAGGCAAAATTTCTCAATCAGTCCTTTGACAGTGTCTTTTTTTCTTTGTAGACCACGCAAGAAGGTTTTGCAAGCACAGTAAGTGTGAATCTTTTAGGATCATCGGTCTCACATGAAATTGCTTCAGAAAGCTCACCAGTTTTACTAATGGTCTAGAAACACTTGTGCACACATTTTCCCCAAACAATCAAATTTGTCAGTCAACCTGAAAAAGAAACTTTGAGCTGTGCATCGCAAGAGATGAAAGGTAGAAGCATGCACAAATTACCTAGCCTTATCTGAGTGTACATTTTGCTGTAATGACTGGAGAATATGTTCATTTTAATTACTACTGGGTTTATTATTAATAGTTTTTGTAGGAATCCATTTGGAAAACATACATTGGAAGGGCTATTCCAATGCGAATTAACTGGCACGCTCCTCACACAGCAAATTTCATGAGAACAGTGTACAGCGAGGAAGAACAAGGAAAGTTTGGATTTGTGTGTGTGGCTTTTTGCTTTGTTGAATTTCTTTTTAATAAATAAAGACTGCGGAGAACTGAACAAAGTTTTAAAGCCCAGCTGTACCCTGCAAAATTACTGTCAAATCAGCATGATAAGGAACTGTGCTTATTGCATCTCAGTGGGTTCTGCGTCCAGTGCTTGCAGTGAGAAGATAATCCCATTTGCTAATGCCCTGGATCAAGTCCAGAAGTCACACTGGGTTTGGCATGGACCTGCAACGTGACAAATAATGATTGTTAAGTTGGCATTTGTGTAAAGATGCAGGTAAGTGAGCGTGGGAACAAGAGCAGAGCCAGCTTGCACTGGTGAGACAGCCTTATACATGGAAGGGCACTTGAAATAAAATGCAGTGATGTTCACTTGCTAGAATAACACGCAAAGAATAGACAGCAAAATATCTGTCCCATTGTGTAGAACAAATTATGCAGAAGAGAGT